GAGCCCCGGGACCGGGAGCCTGCTCGCGGAGGGGGGGAATGACAGTTGGGCTCGCGGGAACTGGGGGGGGAGGCGGAGCGCACGCGCACTGGGCACTCGCGGGTCTTATTTCGTGCCGTCAGAGCCTGAAGCCGGGAGGGGTGAGGTCGGGGCTTACCGGGATCCGTTCCCCACGCTGCGCCTCTAGGGTCGCGCGGCCTGCTGGGAGTAGGCGAAGGGGGAGGGGACCCAAGCTGGCGCCAGCGTCGCGCGGATGACGTCATAGCGGCGCGACGCGGCGGCACGCTTATGGCGCCCCAGGAGGTGAGCGACAAAGAGCGTGGGGGCGCCCGGGGCGGCACCCAGCATGCACCGCGCGGGTCCTGCCAAGCCCTGGGAGGTGTGAACCCATGCACCCTCCCAGCACGCTTTGCTCCCTGTCCTGCCAACCCTGGGGTCTCCCAGCATGCTTTGCTCCCAGCCAGGCCCTTCCCAGCATGCCTTGTGCCCCCCCTCATGCCAACCTGAGGCTTTCCCAGCCTCCCTTGCTCCCCACCTGGCCAGCCCGGGCGTCTCCCAGCATGCCTAGCTCCCCTCCTACCTCCCCCACCTTCCCATCATGCCGTGCTGGCCCCCAGATGGACGTCCAGCGGGCCTTGGAGCTGCTCCACATGAGCGTCTTCTCCCAGAGCGTCTCGCCTTGCGGGAAGTACCTGGCAGCCGGCAACAGTTACGGGGAGATCGGCATCTTCAGGTACCCCAGCCTGCCCCTAGCCCGCCCTGCGGGCACGCTCCCCAGCTCCCCTAACTGCCCTGTGCCCCCCCAGCCTGTCGGCGGCGCTGAGTGCGGAGGCCAAAGAGGAGAGCAAGAAGCCGGTGGTGTGTTTCACAGGTGGGTGCGAGGGGAGCAGCTTCCCACAATGCCCCGGGGCTGCTCACGCCAACCTGGCTCCTCCCCACAATGCCCTGGGGCTGCTTGTGCCAACCTGGGCCTTCCCACAATGCCCTGGGCCTGCCCCTGCCACCCCGCAGCCCACAATGGTCCCGTCTACGCGCTGACCTCCACGGACCGGCAGCTCCTCAGCGCCAGCGACGGGGAACTCAAGGCCTGGAATTGGGCGGAGATCGTTAAGAAGGTAAGCCCCGCCCCTAGCCCCGCCCCTGATGTCCTGGTCCCCTGCGCTTCATCCCCCTCCACGTGTCCCCCCAGGGCTGCAAGGAAGCATGGAGCCGGCGGCCCCCTTATAGGTAAGCCCCACCCCAAGTGGGAGTGGCCTCACATTGGCCAGTGGGAAGAGAGTGAGAGGGCATGGCCTCCTTCTTTCCCCACATTTGCTTCCAGGAGTAGCCTGGAGGTGCCGGAAATCAACAGCCTGCAGTTGAACCTCAAGGTGAGTATGGCCCTGGGCATTGTGGGATAGCCAGGGGGAGGGGCTAGCCTCCAAGCCCCGCCCCCTCTCTCCTGCCTGTGTCTCCTCTTCTCCAACAGGACAACAGCCTTCTGCTGGCTGGGGGTGACTGCACCGTGCACGCCATGGACCTGGAGACAGGGGTCTTCACCGTGAGTGGGGGCAGGGCTCTCGGCCATCCATTCATCCCTCTGTCCATCCCCACAGACCTCCGTCCATCGCTAGACCTTTCCCTCTTTCTATGCGTGTGTCTACTGTTGGACTTCTTTGTTCATCTCACCATCTGCCCATCACCATACTTCTCCGTCCGTCCATCCATCCTTTCATCTGTCACTAGAGTCCTGCATCTCCAGACTCATCCATCCTGCACTAAACCCTCCCCATTCCATCTACTTGCTTGTCACCGGGCTTCATCCATCCGCCCATTGCTAGCCTCCTCCATCTGTTCACTCTTCATCCATGTCTACGTCCATCCAGTCTGTCACTAGATCTCTCTCTTCGTTCGTGTCTCCATCTGTTCATCACTAGACTTTTCCATCCATTTCTTCATGCGTTCATCGCTGGATTTCTCCGTCTGTCCTTCCATCCATTCTTCCATCCCTCACTAGACCCTCTCCATCTGTCCATCCATCCGCATCTCACCAGACTTCTTCATCCCTCTTTCCTTCTTTCCACCCATCACTAATCTTGTCTATTTGTCCATTCTTCATCTCTCCGCATATACATTCACCTCTATGTTTATCTGTCGCTAGATCTCCCCATCCATCCAGCCATAGAGTCTCCCATCTGTTTCTTCATCTATCTGTCATTACATTTCTCCACCAATCCATCTGTAACTAGACTCCTTCTTCCACCCCTAGACCCACCTATCCATCTGTCTCTAGATCCCACCCCGCTCACCTGCTCTCCCCCACCTTCCCAGCATGCCCTGCGGGGCCACACCGACTACATCCACTGCCTGGCACTGAGGGACCAGTTCCACGAGTGCCTCTCGGGCAGTGAGGACGGGTCCGTCCGTCACTGGGGTAAGTCCCGCCCCTTCCCCACCCCTGCCCCGCCTTTGCTGAGACCCTGCAGGGCTCGTGACACCCACTCCCCACCACCCCACAGATCTCCGCACCGGGGGGCAGGTACAAGCCATCGAGGTGCACAAGTACGAGGTGAGAACCCAGACATCTGGGCTGCCAGCACCCCTGCTGGGGAACCCAGGTGTCCAGGCTCTGACCTGGCCTTCTCTGCCTCTTCCCCCACCCCCAGGAGTGCAGCCGGCCCCAGTATGGGAAGTGGATCCGTTGCCTGGCGACAGACTCTGATTGGATGGTGAGAGTGCAGGGGAGAGCTTTGGAGCGAGGGTATCCCATAATGCCTTGGGTTTAGCTGTGGTGGCCAAAGCAGGGTATCCCAGAATGCTTTGCTTGCAAGCGTGGCTGCCTACAGTGATATACCCTAGCAAGGTTGGACAAGGTACCCCATAACGTCTTAGGACCCAGACATGGCTGACTGCAGGGATATCCCACAATGCCTTGGGTCCCCATCATGGCCGATCACTGGGATATCCCACAGTGCTTTGCTACCAGTCCAGCCTGGTCACAACTGGCCAGGCCAATGTCCCAGCATGCTTCACAGTGCATGCCAGAGGGGCTAGGGATAGTCCCTGGGGTGCTGAGGCTCATGGGAGCCCCTCCCCGGCAGTGGGCGGAGCTTGGCATGACCCTGCCTCCTCCCCCGCAGGTGTGCGGAGGGGGCCCGGCACTGACCCTGTGGCACCTGCGCTCCGTGACGCCCACCACGGTCTTCCCACTCGCGCCTGCCCAGCACCATGCCATGTTCTACCAGGACCTGGTGAGTCTGGCCCGCCCATCTCCGTCCATCTCTCTGTTTTTGTTCCTCGTCTCCTCTGTTCCTCCCTTCGTTCGTTCTTCCCAAGCTCGTCATACTGTCGTGCGTCCGCTTGTGCCGGCACTCGCCCACCCATCCCCCCCATCTGCCCATCTGTGCGTCCCTCCCTCCGTTCACCCGCTGGTTCCCACCTTTGTCCATCTGCTCCATTCCTCCCTCCACGCTCCCTCGCTCCAGCCACCCGCCACTCCTCCATTCTTCTGCACCCTCACTCCTCCGCTCCACACTCCACCCACCCAACACTCCTCCGCTCCACGCTCCACCCACCCCTTGCTCTCTTGCTTCCACGCTCCACCCACCCAACTCTCCTTTGCTCCTTCACTCCCTTGCTTTGTCCCTCACTCCACCCACCCAATGCTCCTCCGCACCTTCGCTCCCTCATTCTGCTCTCCGCCCACCCAGCTCTCCTCCACTCCTTTGCTCCCTTGCTGTGTGCTGGCCCTGACTCCACCCCTTTCGCCGCTCCCCAGATCCTCTGCGCGGGGCAGGGCCCCACCATCTACCACCTCCAGCTGAGCGGTGACGTTCGGGCCCAGATCCCCTGCTCCCCCCGGGCGCTCCACTCCCTCTGCCTCAACCAGCGCTCCCCTGAGCACAAGGTACCAGGGCTTCGGCCCAGGGAAGGGAAGCAGACATGAAGCAGAGGGTCTGGGGTGGGCCTAGAAGTCGGGCTGTGGGTGTGGCCTAGTGGGGAGTGGGGAGCTCAGAGAAGCAGGGGTTGGGGTTGGGGTTTGGTCCCAGATGGGGCAGGGCTTGGTCCTGGAATGGGTGGTGCCTGGCCATGAGAAGCGAGGGCTCAGTGAGATGGGACTGGGTGGGAGGGGCTTAGCACAGTCACCCCAGTGCAGAGACTGGGTTGGACTGGGAGCAGGTAATGGGATGACTGGGAGGCACTGGGATGAATTGGGAGGGGGTACTAGGATAACGGGGTTACTGGGGGCAACTGGAAAGGGGAATTGGGGTGAGCGGGGCCACTGGGATAAACTGGGATAGGTGCACTGGGGTAACGAGTTAACTGGGACTGGGTGCTAGGTTGACAGTGGGTTACTGGGATGGGGTACTGGGGAGATTGGGGGTTACTGGAACTGGGAAGAACTGGCCTGGGTGCACTGGGGTGACCTCCAGTCACCCTACTACCCCCATCCCGGCAGCCTCTGAGGGGGCACCCATCATGGGTAGGGGGCAGGACTTGATCCCAGAGGGGGAGAGGCTTAGTCCTGGAAGGGGCGGAGCCTGGGCATGAAAAGAGACAGCACAATGGGATGGGGAGGGGGAGGCTTAGAGAAAGGGCGGGGACCAGGACATGGGAAGACCCAGGAGCACCATGGGGCGGAGCCAGAGGCTGACTCCGCCCCTTGCCCTGCACCCAGGTGCTGACAGCCGCTGGCAGCAGCCACAAGATTGACGTCTTCACCAATTTCGGCTACCGGGCCTTCTCCCTCGCCTTTGCATAGTCCCGCCCCTGGGGGCAGGGTTCCCAAGCCCCACGCCCTGGGCGGTCCCTGACCCGCCCCTTTTCTGTGTGACACGGTTTTGTAATAAAAATAGTGATGTTTTATCCTGGAAGCTCCGCCCTCTCTCCATCCTGGTCTTGCTTTAATCTGCATTAAGGGAGTTGATCTGGATTAAGTCCTAGTGTGTCTACACGAGTGGGGGAGGGGGGGTGCTATGGCTCTTCTGGAGGCGGGGCCAGGTGGGAAGTAAGAGGGTTTAGGGCTCAGGGAGGGGAGGGGGCATGAAGGCCTGGAGCCAAGGGGAGGAGCCTGGATCTCGTCTGTGGGATGTTGGCCCTCCCCCCATAGCCGGGTGCCATGGGGGGCCCAAGATGCAGGCTGACGTATAGAACAAGATGGAGACCAAGATGACTGCTTCTAGGACCCCCCGCCCCCCACCCAAGATGGTTGCCACAAGGACCAAGATAGCCACCGCATGGACCGGGATGGCCGCTGTACCAACCACGATTGCTGCCATGGAAACCAAGGTGCAGGGA